AAAAGAGAGAGAGAGAGAGAGAAAGATTTACAATTACTAATTTCTAGGTATAAAAGTGAATATTCAGAATTAAAATAAAAACCTGAGTCAAATAAAACCTGCTGTGGTTGAGAGGCATGCTCTGCACTTTGGTTTCTCCAGACAATGAGTCAGTCACCCTCCATCACAGCTTCCTACAGCTTCCTAGTGAGCAGCAGGGCCTCCCCACGACTTCTAGAGCTTAAGCTGCGACACCTCTGCGGTAAACCTACCTCAGCCCAGAGCTTGACTGCAGAGTTTTTCTGGGTGACAGTGACAAATGAATGCCTCTGCCCTTGAGTGTGCGGGCTGTGATAAATGTGTTCCCAGAAACATTTGCATTATTTTTGGTAACGGTTTGTCCTTTTCTCCTTGTTCCCTTTCTCTGTCTGAGGTGCTCAAGTAATTTAGATTCCTAGGCCCACTCCACAGGTCTCCCTTTCGGTTGAGTCAGCGGTAAGACCCACACATTAGAAGCCAGGGCAAACTGCTGGGCAAAGGTGTGCCCAAGAGTGGGGTCACCAGAGCTGGAGAGTGGGTATCTATTGGTGACAGGGTGTCAGGTTGGCAAAAAGAAAAAAGCTCTTGAGATGGTGGTGGTGATTTTTAAAATTTTTCCCAAACAGGGTCTCTCTAAGTCACCAGGTTTCCCCAAGCTGGATTTGAACTTGCAGTCCTCCTGCCTCAGCCTCCCAGTGTGCTAGGGTTAGGTGCATTGCACCGCTGTGCCTGGATATGGGATGTCTATTTTGCCACTGTAAAAACAAAGGCACCCATTTAAAATAGGCTCCAACTTGCTGGCATCTTCAGTTGCCTCCTGGGGTCTGCCCCGCTTGCTTTCACGAGAGCCAGATTGGTCAAGAAATGATGCTGCGCAGCGTCCTGTAGGCCTTCTGGGAATGCCAATCCTGGAATTCTGGCTTGTTCTGATTTTCTATTTGGGGGAGCCTTTACCTTTGCTCGTTTTGACAGCTTGTATTGCACAAGCCAAAGAATTAATGTGGGAGGGCTGGTGAGATGGCTCAGTGGTCTAAAGCACCTACTCAGAATAAGCTTCGCAAAGCACAGGGACCGCGGTTCAATCCCCCAGCACCACATGCCAGCCAGCCC